CGTTTTTTGTTCCTATAACTTTCTAAGATTTCATTTTTCCTATGTTTTTATCTTTAATTTTATGTATTTAGAATGTTTTCTTTCATGTTAATTTGTACTGATTTATTTCTAAACAAACCGTGGCCATTAAATAGAAAACTGTAGTAACATTTTCATACCTGTGATTTTGTAACATAATTATCCTTTTCTAAAAATAACTATTTTGCACTTTTTATAGAAACTCTTTGCTGTTTGACATTTTTTTTATTAAAACAACAAATGAAGTTTAAAAATTAACATAGAACATAAAAGAAACTAGTATATGTATCATTCAGGTTTTTCAAATGGGTGTTAATGATATTGGTATAATAGTCTTAAACCCATTGAAAATTCTGACAAAACTGGTATAAATATCAATAATTTACATGCTAAAAACGTAAACAGCACCCAGCTTAAATAAGGATATAGATTTGTAAAAAATACTAGTCATTAGCTTTTATCAACCATATCCAGATGAGTTTTTATTATTTAATATACCGGGCGGTCCGAATTGTATTCGGGAAATTTCGCCAAGATATTTTACAGATAAAAATAAGTAAAAAAGACCGTATAAATGTATGTCCTAAAATGCTTCGTTTCGGAGATACAGGGTGTAGAAATTTAATTTTTATTTCGATTTTTTCCAAATAATTTCTGAACTAACGTCTTATACAGTTTTAAACAGGTACAGACGAAAAGTTATTACTCTTCAAACCAGTTAAAAAGTGTGTACGTGGCGCCACCTACAAGTAAGAGTCATATTGACATCGAAATCAAATTTCTCATGTCAAAAAATACCCAGACACCAATTTAAATTCAAATATTTACACTATTTCAGAAATTATTTGGAAAAAATCGAAATAAAATGAAACTTCTACACCCTGTATCTCCGAAACGAAGCCATTTTAGGACATAAAGGGTATAGCCGGATTAATATGGGATATCTGCCCCGCGCAGTGTCGAATCAAAATAATTCACCTAAATTTTTAACTCTTTAACTCAAACGGTTTTCGAGATTTTCAAAAAAAAATGTTTTTTCAATTTTATTTTTATAGTAAAATTCAAAATTAATTAATGATGATTTTTTTTCTAATTCTTAGAAGTCTAAGACATGAAAGAATAATTAAAATCTTCATTTATAACCTTCGTGAAATATTTCAGTCACTAAAAATCGTCAGAAAATGTCTTTTATACTCCTTTAAGCGGGGTTTCCACATGCAAGGATTACTGGCGCCAGTATTCGCCAGTTTTTGGCGCCACAATTAAATGGCGCCATTACCCGTTTCCACAGGTCTATAGTAAATTTAAAACTGGCATGTAATTACAGTCAGTTTTGAGATTTTAACACCTTGTTACGCTCTAGGGTGTAAGCATTCATAATACTTCCAATTTTGGCCTTTGCGGAATTTACATCAAAGTTGCTGAGAGAATCAGACATGACTCCAACAATTCTTCTTAGGCTTCATCCCTTTTATTTCGATCCTTATAATCACTTATTTTATTGTTCCATAAGCAAGGATGTTGTTCTTAGGCTTCCAAAAACTTTATTATTAATTCAGTAGACCACTTTTTTGAAACAAACGACATTTTTACGACTGGAGATGCTTGCTGTATTGTTTGCACACAAAACTGGCGCCAAAAAGTACAGGACCGTTGAACTTTAAGCGGGGTTTCCACATGCAAGGATTACTGGCGCCAGTGTTCGCCAGTTTATTGGCGCCACAATTAAATGGCGCCAATACCCGTTTCCACATGTCTATAATAAATTTTAAACTGGCATGTCATTACGGTCAGTTTTATGAGATTTTAAGACCTTGTTATGCTCGAGGATGTAAGCATTCATAATACTTCGAATTTTGGCCTTTGCGGAATTTACATCAAAGTTGCTGAGAGAATCAGACATGACTCCAACAATTCTTCTTAAGGCTTCATCCCTTTTATTTCGATCCTTATAATCACTTATTTTATTGTTCCACAAGCAAGGATGTTGTTCTTAGGCTTCCAAAAACTTTATTATTAATTCAGTAGACCACTTTTTTGAAACAAACGACATTTTTATGACTGGTATGTTGCTGTATTGTTTACAATAAAACTGGCGCCAAAAGTACAGGACCGTTGAACTTAAGCGGGGTTTCCACATGCAAGAGTTACTGGCGCCAGTGTTCGCCAGTTTATTGGCGCCATAATTAAATGGCGCCATTACCCGTTTCCACAGGTCTATAGTAAATTTAAAACTGGAATGTCATTACGTTCAGTTTTATGAGATTTTAACACCTTGTTATGCTCTAGGGTGTAAGCATTCCTAATAGTTCGAATTTTGGCTTTTGCGGAATTTACATCAAAGTTGCTGAGAGAATCAGACATGACACCAACAGTTCTTATTAAGGCTTCATCCCTTTTATTTCGGTTCTTATAATCACTTATTTTATTGTTCCATAAGCAAGGATGTTGTTCGTAGGCTTGCAGGAACTTTATTATTAATTCAGTAGACCACTTTTTTGAAACAAGCGATATTTTTACGACTGGAGATGCTCGCTGTATTGTTTACATACAAAACTGGCGCCAAAAAGTACAGGAGCGTTGAACTTTAAGCGGGGTTTCCACATGCAAGGATTACTGGCGCCAGTGTTCGCTTACTGGCGCCACAATTAAATGGCGCCATTACCTCCGTTTCCACAGGTCTATAGTAAATTTAAAACTGGCATGTAATTACGGTCAGTTTTATGAGATTTTAACACCTTGTTACGCTTTAGGGTGTAAGCATTCATAATACTTCCAATTTTGGCCTTTCCGGAATTTACATCAAAGTTGCTGAGAGAATCAGACATGACTCCAACAATTCTTCTTAAGGCTTCATCCCTTTTATTTCGGTCCTTATAATCACTTATTTTATTGTTCCATAAGCAAGGATGTTGTTCTTAGGCTTCCAAAAACTTTATTATTAATTCAGTAGGCCACTTTTTTGAAACAAACGACATTTTTACGACTGGAGATGCTTGCTGTATTGTTTACACACAAAACTGGCGCCAAAAAGTACAGGAGCGTTGAGCTTTACTGGCACATGAATTAGTGGCGCCACTAAACTTGCGCCAGTCGATTTTACAGGTTTCCACATACAATAAAACTGGCGCCAGTAATCCTTGCATGTGGAAACCCCGCTTTACACTCAGGAATTTTTTAGAATTTTTTGAAGTGGTGAAACATATGAAAAGAATTAAAAACTCAATTTTTTTTCTTAAATCTTCTCGAACTGATTTTTTTTATAATAATCTTTATGTTTATTTTTAACAAGAATGTATTTTTAATGAAAAAATATTTTCTACTCACTTTTTTAAACTAAACAAAAATATAAGTTAGTTAAAACAGAAGATTTTAGCAAAAAAAATAGTTTTTAATTTATTTTATATTGTTCCACCACTTCAAAAAATTCTAAAAAATTCCTGAGTGTAAAGAAGTATAAAATACATTTTCTGACGATGTTTAGTGAGTGACATACATATTTCACAAAGATTAAAAAAATAAAGATTTTAATTTTCTTTCCTCTGCCAAAAATCGGCTTTTCGTTTAAGAATCATGATTAGGGAATGCAATCCCGCAAATGCGGGAACCCTCTGAAATTCCGCGGGATCAAAGTTGCGGGATTTACCATGCGGGATTTGCGGGATCGACACATTACTACTGGCTAACCGAACCGATCTCGATCAAGGTCAAACCGCTTCGTTCCGGTTCCGAAGCGTCGATGCTCGGAACCCGGGTGATTCCCCTTACGGCTTGGCCATTAAAAATAAGTGAAACAAAAAGGTCAGTTGTTAGTTGTTAGATTTCTTTCTGGCGTATGTGCGTAAGTGAAGAAAAGCGTTTAACTAGACAGTTTCGTCAAATAAACTGCCGGACATAATTATCGGGACAAGCAAAATTTTAGGGTAAATTTAAAGTTGAATATCTCTTGAACCAAAAAAGATTTTGGGATGCGGTTTGGACCAGGTTCTAGATGCATCTATTGTGATTAAGATGCTATGTGATTTTCGAAAATATATTAGCAAATTCTCGTATACAGGGTGTTTTATAAGAGTGTGAAAATTTGGTCAAGAATCTTTTTTACCGCAAATTTACAATTTTTAAAAAATCAAAAATTTTACCAAGTACGACTAATCTGTATTGAAATTAGACAAAAAAAATTTGACCGGTCTTTTAATTTTTTTTTTGTTTTAAGGAAAATACGACGTTTTTTTCGAAAAATATCCATTTTTAGTCATGCGTATGGTTCTAAATGGTACAAAAAGCTTTGTACATTCTGCATATGCCAAAAAATTATTGATATAGAGTGTATCTAAAAGCAGATAACTAACACAAGTTAAAAAAAAACTTCAACATCAGAATAATATTTCTATTTATAAAATAAGTAGATAAATTATAATAAAATTTAAGTTTATTTAATATTAAATATATTTTTTGCACACCCTGTATACATCGGTCCAAATTTCTGTACAGCTAGTTTAAGATACATGCTATATTAATATATTGTGGGCCTATGCATAATGTACAATACCTTTTGTACCATTTAGGACCAAATGTATGACTATAAATGCATATTTTTCCAAAAAACCTCGTATTTTCCTTAAAACAAAAAATTAAAAAAAACCACCAAATTGTTTTTTCTAATTTGTATTGTACCAATATGAAATAAATACTTTTCTGCTACTATAGCCTGTTTTTAATTGCATAAAACCTTTTTATTATCAAGTTTAATAGGTTGAGTACAAAGAGGAGCATTTATTGTTTACAGTCCCGCAATTTTGCGGATTCGCGGGATTGATTGCTTTAATCCCGCGGCTTTGCGGGATTGAGATTTCGGTGCGGGATTGCATTCCCTAATCATGATATATATTATTTTTCATGTCTTAGACTTCTAAGAATTAGAAAAAAAATCATCATTAATTAGTTTTGAATTTTACTATAAAAATAAAAATAAAATTGAAAAAACGGTTTTTTTTGAAAATCTCGAAAACCGTTTGAGTTAAAGAGCTAAAAATTTAGTTGAATTATTTTGATTCGACACCAAATCGATACCTTGAGTGCGAGTCAAAAAAGCCGCGGGGCAGATTTCCCATATTAATCCGGCTGTACCCTTCATACGAACTTTGTGCTTATTTTTTAAGTTTCCCGAATACGACTCGGACCACCCTGTAAAACGAATTAATAACTCATCTGGTATGGTTATCGATCACCTAATTAAAATAAGTTTGTCATTAAAGAACTGTTAGAGCGATTGATTGATTTCCAAGTAAGCTGGTAGAATTATTTTAGCGATTTTTTGTAACGCGGATAATGACAATAAAGCGATTTCTTTAGTATTTCTAAGCCAGGCGTGTTTCTTTTCCTCCTCCAGTTCCATAGTCATTTCCTTCATTTCCACGGCCAGTTCCTCGTTGATTTCCTTTAGATTTTCCACGGATTCTATGTACTCGTCCAGTTTGCTTTCCAGTTCTTCGACTTTTAGGGAGATGTCCAGTTTTTCTTCCTTGACGGACTGGAGTTCTTCGCAAAGGGAACTGTTGGTGTCAGCTTGTTTCTGTAACTCACTAAAAGAGAGGCGATTTATGATTTAGATTTAATAAACCATACGATCGAAAAAAAAACGGCGTCAAAGACTGAGGAATGATAATCGGTGATAATTTTGGCGAGATCAATAATTTTTAAAGTGTAGTTTAAAACCTAGATCATATATACTTACGTGGATGCGTAAACCACTATAGAAACTGTCGCAAACATATCAACGACTTACATTTATCTTCTTTCTTTGTTGCACAAGCGGTGCTTCTACTCTGTCTATCCTTGTCAAGGACCTATCGTCCACGCGGCAAATTTGAATATTTATTTTAAAAATTTAATTTGTAAAATGCATATATTTGAACAATAAATTGAATGTTTACAGTCACAAAAAAACAAATTATATAAAAAATGCATTTAGTCACTCCGAACGAATATCAATATTCTTAGAAAATAACCAAAAAGTATGCAAAATATATAAAAGTGGTTTAATATAAATAAAAGAACAACTGAATACCTTACTTGTCTATGAAAAGATAATTCGGGGACCTTTATATTAGAACTTCCACACACCAAACACTTTCTAGTGATTTTTACGAGTATTTAGAAAATTCAATTAAAAAAAATAGAAATATAATTGCATAAGCTTAAAATTAACTTCTCACTGAACACACTTGCATCATTGGCTATACTAAGAGCTGGCAAAGGTTAGTCTTGGGTCGAGATTTCCGTATGTAGGAAGAGTACAATGCGTTTATAACGTACTGAACAAAGAGAGAAGAGTAAACACGTTGCCAAACGCATGAAATAAACCGAGAAACTGTACACCTGTACACATTGCTAAGAGACGTGGAAGGGGATATAGCAGATTTGTTGCAGTTGACCGGTCGACCCAATCAGTACCTCTGTTAGTACTTAAAGTTCTAGGGAATGGTGTACATCATGCGTTCAGCTTCACGATATATTTATTAACGAGTCGTAATTTTCCCTATAAATTAAAATTTTTTAAGTGTAAGTTAGAAACACTTGCAGTTTTGGTAAAAATAAGTGGAATTGAGTTAGTGTTCGACAGTGATTGCGCTATTAGAACTCTGAATTCAAAAATCAATATCTCGAAATCTATTAGAAATAATTGATTGCAGTTTTTTTCAAAAACTTTCTTAATATTTCTGCTATATTTTCTTCGCAGACAGTATGTGAAAATCTTTATAAATAAAAAAACTTACACGATTGCTGAAAATTGCTATGCACTAAAAGTAAATGGATGGGTTATTTAAAAATTTTTAATGGAAGAGAGCAACCTTGTCAATTTTTTCTAATTTAAACATATTGTAAAAGATCCGATCTTCAAAATAAAAAAAGTTTCTAAAGTGGTTCTTAAGTTATGGCGTGTTAAAAAGTTGAGTTTTTAAATTATCGCGATTACTGACGTTTTTTCGTTATAAAAAAATACAACTACGATACCATAACGATATCCTTATATTTCCATTTCAGATGCTCAGAAACATATCTAATGATTTTATCTAGTTATCTTTTCGAAAAAAAAGTATTTTAAAAATACGCGGTTTGTGATCGATTTTTACATGATAGGGAAAGGAATACCGGCAACGCCGAACAGCACACCGTCGCATTTCTCTCACTCCGACGTAATAAGATCCCTATGCGATTTACTTCCACACATGTAAGTACCGACCCAAAAGTCACAGTTGCCAGCACGGTATAAAAACTATCGATATAAACGAGTAATTAATACAATTTTTTAAATAAACAACGCAAAAAACAAGCGTCGTTACACAATGGAAATAAGATTATGACATACGATTTTGACAAGATTATGACAAAACATTATTGTCGTGTTTTCATATTTTTTTGGAGCGATATAAATCTGCCACATACAATGACTAAAGAATCCAAGGACAAATAACACCCGAGAGCAAATTGTGACGATGCCATCAAACAGTGCCGTGGCACATATTTTTCTTAACCTAGCTGTTTGAAGCAATATTTATATTTTTTGATAATTGTTTTGACTACGCCTATGGTGTATCATCCTAATTAATTACGAAAAAAACGCATTAAAATGTTAACAATAGGTACAAAATTAGTATCGACGTATAGCACATATCAAGTACATATAGATACGAGTATTAATTGAAATTGAAGAATAATTATCGAATTCAATAAGAAAACGTTAAAAGGTTGGAGTGGACTGTTTATTTACCTATGAAACGTAACTCCTGGCTCTTTCTTATCGCTGCTGCTTTTACACTTGGAAGCTGAACAACTAATCACCATTATAATAAAGTTTATACAAAGTTTACTACACACAAACTATTAAAAATCGCTAAAATTGTCGCTGGTGACCAAATGATGACTCATTGTTTGCCACCAAAACAAAAAAAAGGTCACAAATTCTGCTGCAGCCCGTATAGGGGTGTTACATGTCCTTATATTCTTTAGTCATTGGCCACATAGGTATAGACCTTTTTTGTAAAGTTGGTTTCCATAACAATGTATAATTTGTACTTTCTAAACCGTATAAAATTAAAATTAATGAGCATGTGCAAAGTGAGGTCATCGGAAAAGATAAAGCTATTGAACGTAATATACATAGACGTAAGACAAAACTATTGAACGTTTCATAAGTGCAATAAAGAAGGTTTAAAAATGGCATGTCGTAATGTTAGAGACATCGTTTTTAATTCTAATCGTATAACATTTATGCATCCATGTAAGTATATATTATGATCTAGGATATCTAGGGTTTAAAATTAGAAATAGATTTGTGAGTCTGGAAACGGTTCTATCATTTTTATTCTTTCTATGGTTAATGTTAATTTGGGCCATTTTTATGTCAATTTTTAGTAAATGCCATCTAGAGATTGACCTCGCCAAAATTATCATCGATTGTCATTCTCCAGCCGTCTTTGACGCCGTTTTTTTTCGATCGTATGGCATTATAAGTACCTATAGTTTTTTATTTCGAATAGTTAGCCTACAATAAGTAGTAGGCAAATACAAAACAGAAAACTATTCGAAATATTCCTGTTACGTAGGAATGCGATAATTTTATTGGGTTTATTTTTATTTTTCAAGCATATCGACTTTCCTTTCATCACAAAATAAAAGGTACAACTTTTCAGATATCTACTACAAACACTACCAGGCAGTGGCGGCGACTGGTTTAATACTTTGGGGGGCACAACCTTAGAAATGCAAATTGTTATGTGATTATTTGTTGGTCTTTCTATTTCGACGTTTTCCTGGGTGACTGCCATTGTTGGTGGAAACTCAACATCAAAACTATATTAGGTGTTTTACTTTAGATGGTCTGTACTTACTTTGCTATAAATATAGTAATCTTAAATCATACAGGGTGTTCAAAATTCTACGCCAAACTTTCTGAAATATAAAATAATTTTTCTTCGTTATTTTAAATAGAACACCCTGTATATTATTCTTGTAATAGATGGAGAATTAAAAAATGAACATGATTTGTATTTAGAGTATTTTAAAATTTTTAACGGCTTCGCAGATATTCGCGGTTTTATATTTTATATGGTATTTTCCATAGTAAATTTTTATCAAAGCCACCCAATGATTTTTCTCTCGTATTTTACCGTTGAAAGAGCCATACGAAATAATACCGCAAGTAAAACACTCTAAATACAAAAAATGTCCATTTTTTAATTCTCCATCTAATAAAAAAAATAATCTACAAGGTGTTTCAGTTAAAAAAAACAAAGAAAAATTATTTTATATTTTAGAAAGTTGGGCGTAGAATTTTGAACACCCTGTATGATTTAGGATTACGATATTTATAGCAAAGTAAGTATAGACCATCTAAAGTAAACACCTAATATAGTTTTGATTTTAGAACAATTCTTGTATTTTTAATATTTTTTTTAAAAAGTCTGAAAATATATATTATTTTTTTTATTTATTAATATCTCTGAAACTACTGAAATATATTTACTCATATTTTAGGATTATGTAAAGTGATTTGAAAATAAATAAAAAACGGAATAATATACAGGGTGTTCCATTTAAAAAAAATAATCCTGATTCAATCACACTTTTTTGAGGCCACCCTGTAGAAGTTAAAACATTTTTCTGAAATACATCCTAGTACATACTTTAGGTTTACAATCTAACAAAATTAAATAAAAAAGTTTTTTTATTCTAGGAGCTACAGATGCCCGACGCACTATTGCCTGACCCTGTATGGAGAATATAAATAATAACATTTAAATTAGTTTTTTTTCTCAAGAAGCATTACATTTAGAGCTAATATGTACCTATTGAGGTACCGCCACTGCTATTAGGCGTATTCTAAATCCAACCAATTATAATTTTGGCATCCGGCCAAACGCTATAACTGTTATGTGTATTTGTCGTTTTCTTACATCGACATTACAAAGAGATAGAAAAAAACAAACAATGAAGATCACCATTTCAACTGCGCATATTTCGCCTCTGCCGTTTTCTGTTTCAGCTCGGCCGTTTGAAAGTTTTTTTCGAATTTTTGCAGAGCCGCTTCCAATTTGGCGCTTATCTTCTTTTGAGAGGAGAGGTCGTGCTTTTGAAGGTTTAACTGGAAATAAATAAAATAGTTATTTAATAAAAAAGAAATTACTGAAAAGAACAATTTTACCTCATAATCTTCTATAAAGAAGATTATGAAGGTATTTTTTTTTCGTATCTTTTCGTGTCGACTAAAAGATGCCCAAATTCTATTCTTACAGTGAAACAGGAACCCAAGCAGCATTTGTACGTCGGGACAACGTTGTGTCACGCGACCAAACGTCGGGGCGCAACGTCGGCACAACCTCGTGCCAACCCTAGTCTGCACTAGTTTGGAGAATAAATTTTGGGTCGACGTTGGATACCGACGTTGGCTAGAAGCCTAATTTAGTACAAACTGCAACGTTGTTTAAAAGCCTAATTCACAGAAATACAAAACTAATATGGCGTCTAAGTCGCGTTTTATCCTAAATTGGGATAATTATAGTAAAAATATTATTTTTATGATTTAGTTAGAGACATGTCAGATGGCAGTGAAGGAAAACAAAACAAAAGTATTTAAGTGTGGAGGATTTTTGAAGATCATAATTATTATTAAAACACTTTAACCGACTCTGTAACTCGTTACCCAAGGCAAAAAAGTTAAACGCAAACAAATTTATTGATAAATGTATTGTTTCTACTTTGAAAAATACTAATGGGCCTTAAAATTAAAGAAGTTTTAAAAATTTCCTTGAATTTTTTTTTAGTAAAATGAGAATAATTTATTCGCAATCGAAAAAATTGTTTCCGCGTGTTTTTTAGGGTCAAATATTTCAAGTTAATGTATTCAAAAAGCAGGAATTGCTATTTTAGGAACGAAACATTTTCTTATTTAACAACATGGCGGCTTTCACTTTGTTGTTTTGGAGATTAAGATGGAGTAGTTCGAGTAGTCGCATACTGGACTAATAAAGTCGCAGTTCGGCCTTAACAGGTAGTATACTAGTCGCAAGATTGCCTAATTTAGTCATCCTAGAGTCTAGCTTGTGCCGCCTTGTATAATCTAAATAAACGAGGAAGTGGATAAACTATCGGTAATATATGTCGATGTATATTTAAATTTAGTTTTATATGTACCTTTCTTATGTCCCATTTTAATTAAGTTTTTTTTATAAAAACAAAAACAGCACTGAACTGTCTCACTGAACAGAACAATGAAGTGAAAATTTAAGATTTAAGGTTATGGTTCAACACAGTTGCAAAAAGGTAGTGACTCGACGTCCTACCAACGTAAGAATAAGGAAATCTAAACAACGTTAGAATTAGTAAAACAGACGACGTTTGCATAACGTTGGAATAGGTCCTGAAACTGACGTCGGAAAACTCTATATTGTCCAACGTTGTAACTACGTTGTCCGAATCACCTAAAGATCACTTAAGCAAAAAAGGTTACAAGACAACGTTTATTCGACGTCGCAGAAGCTTCTACTTTGCTATAGTACTAGTCCAACGTCGGCACAACGTCATAAAAACGTTTAAATTTATTTTAATACCCAAGGTAGGGAGCTAACTATTTTTTGTAACTAATCCAACGTTATGTTTAGTAAACATGTGGTCGCAAGTCGTGAAAATGCTACTTGGGAAGTGAACCAAACTAATTGAATACGTCAATAATTAATCCCCATTCATATGATATAAGTACTAATGTATCTCTTTTAAAAAAAACAACCTGGTATGTTTATCAAATTTTAATAAAACTAAAAAAATATAGGGATATATTCTTGAAATCAGAAAATCTGTATTCCGGAAACTTCGGCAGCATATTATGCAGATAAAAATAACTAAAAAAGTTCGTATAAATGTAAGTTCTCAAATGCTTAGTTTTCGAGATACAGGGTGTAGAATTTTCATTTTTATTTCGATTTTTCCAAATAATTTCTGAAGTAACGTCAATATTTGGATGAAAATTGGTGTCTGGAAGTTTTTTGACATGAGAAATTTGATTTTGATGTCAATACGACTCCTATTTGTAGGGGGCGCTACCTACATGTGTTTTAACTGTTTTGAAGAGTAATAACTTTTTGTCCGTACCTGTATAAAACTACTGAGTGAAAAAATATACATTTCCATGATATTTTACGTAAAAAATGTCTCTTGGTTACGAGCAACCGTTCTCAAGATATTTAGAATGGAAATAGGCAATACATGTCATTATTGACACAAAATAAACATGCTAGTTATTCTACTGAAATGATAAATTTGGCAACTTTTTATTTTTTTAAATTAATCATAAATTTTCCTTCAAAAAAATGATAAAACAGTTTCTGTTGAACTTTTTGCACAAAAACATTTCAAATTTATGATTTCATAACTATCATGTTTATTTTTTGTCAATAATGAAATGTATTGCCTATTATGCTGTTATTATTGCTATGATGACAGGTATTGATAATTTTGATTCCAAATATCTCGAGAACCATTACTCGTAGCGATTTTTAAGTGACTTTTTTACGTTAAAAACGTCGTAAATGCACATATTTTTACTGATGAATGAATTTTACTGATAAATTTTTACTTATATACAAGTACGGACGAAAAGTTATAACTCAAATCAGTTAAAACATAGTGGCGCCCCTACAAGTAGGAGTCATATTGACGTCAAAATCAAGTTTCTCATGTCTAAAAACTCCCAGACACCAATTTTAGGAAACTAAGCATTTTAGGAACGTTTTTATCTTTTATATATTATTATTTTTACCAAATTATAATCATTATTTTTATAGATATAATGAAGAAAAAACCAAATAATTCATTAGCGTCTTGAGCACGTGATTAGAGCCTCGCTGTTAAGTGAAGAGTTCATAACGATCTCATCTTAATGGCTTAAGTGATTCTAAAATAGGAAAAGTTATTACAGAGTGCAAACCAGAGAGTGCAAACTTAGAACATCTGTTAGCTATAACGGAAAGTAGATAATAAAGAAATTGAAACAAAAATTTACATGTTAGTGCCAACTAAATGTCATACGTCTGTAAAATAATTGTTATAGCCTTTGAATAAGAAGACTAAGGAAGGAGCATAATGCTATCCATGTATTCATGCATGGTGGGCGGAAAAAGCAATCTAGGGTGGGGATCCTTGACAGTTCTGTTTGACGATTCATTTGACACATTTGAATTTGATTTGAAATTTTGTGGATTTGTCAGTCTTTACGGAGCTTATTTTATGTTATTTATTATTTGAAGGGTCGGCCGTAACAACGTTGTATATAACAAAAGGAGTGAATGGAATAAATCACGAAAAACGATAAGAGGTCATTTAGGTGATGATAAAACTTCGTATTTAGTATAGTTTACTAAAGTTGCTATAACTATACTGATTTGTAATTTTTAAAAATGCTTATTACGAAATATCCAACTATAGAGGTCATTATTGTGGAAAATGCATGTAACAACGTTGTATGTTCATGTAACTTACAACGATGTTACACGTAAACAATGTATATTAAATTAAAGCAAATGATTTTTTAATAAATTTACTTTATTAATAAAGGTTTTCAAGAAAGAACTTACATAACGCAAACATTATTTTCAAAAAACTGGTTTTACAAAATAAAATCTTAGTACTAGATAAATTAGAATATTGCTCTCCAGCATCTCTTGAACGTTTTCTCGCGTTTTGTTTCCAGTTCTCTATATTTAGTTTCCTTTTTTTCCCCTATTTAAGTGGGAAATATCCGCGGGTGAAAGTTGCACCGCTCTCTTACTAAGCGCTTAAACGCACGTACAACGTTATTATCGGGAATGCAAGGCTGGCACTGACTGAAGGTCGCCCTATTGCCAGACATCGGGCAAAATTTTTCGGTTCCAGTTGCGCCAATACATTCAAATATGCTTATAAAACGTTGTTTTAGGGAAACATCACATTTCAGCAAAATGTTACATACTTACAACGTTGTTACGGCCGACCCTTCATTTATTCTACTACTGATAGTTGTATAAAGGTAGTAAATCTAGATGGAAATTATGGCAGAACTTAAATTAACAGTGACACTGTCGCGATTTATCGAAAAAGACTCTAAAATAGTTGGTTGTGTAGCGTGCGGTAAATCTCGGCCAAAATTGAGTGAAATAATGGAACAACTTTTCGCTAGTAGGTGACTATATAATATACATACGTGTAGTAAACCGATCATTTATGAAATTCACTTAAATTAACTAAATTATATATTTTTCTTGCATTTTAGCTTTTATTTATTACTTGTCAAAGATTAGATGTCAAAGAATTTAGATACGTTAATTTGACTTACCTGCTTCAGTAGCGTATCGGATGTTTGTGTTAATAAATACTTATTATAACTTATCTATTTTTATTAGAATTGTATATTTTTATAACAATTTTAATAACTACCAACATTTATTCACAACGTAAAATAAAACAACAAATTATTGAGTCTACCCCACGTCTACCCTACATCATAGTTTTACATTTTTTAAATAAAATTAGAACGACACTGATAAACCGGAATTTAAGTCGGCCATATTTGAGGCCTATCGCGGTGTACCTAAGATTTTTGATATGCTCCTTCCTTAGTCTTCTTATTCAAATGTTATAGCTAAATCAATAACCTTTAAAGAGATATATGTAAAAAAACACAAATTACTGACAAGACTTACACCAATAAGGGTGGTTGCAACGACGTGCCGTAATCCTGCTGTTAAAACATGACAGCTCGTTTTTATATATATAAAAACCAATTGTTATGTTTTAACAACAGGATTACGGGACATCGCGTCGTTGCAGCCACCCTACTAAATAAAACAACTTTTAAACCCCCTTTTTGTCTATCAAACTATTCATAAACTAAAAAAAAATATTCATAGATAATTTTAAATATACTTAAGGCATATAATATAATTTTGTTACTGTTTTTTTTTTAATTTTGTTACGTTCACTTACATAAATTCATACTTTGATCCGTTAATGCAAACAACGACAAAGAGAGTAATTATATTTTATATTTTTATATCGCGTTATAGATTTTATAAAGCAAAAGCAGCTGCATCATTATTAGGCTTTAATCTATTT